TTTTTTTTTTTTGTATCTGGGATTGAACTCAGGACCCTTACACTTGCAAGACAGGTGGTGGCACCACTGAGCCAAATCCCTGGCCCCTTGACCTTTTTGTTTTCTTGAGACAGGGTCTCAACTATGTAGTTCAGGCTGGCCTTGAACTCACTATGTAGCCCAAACTGGCCTCAAACCTGTGGTGATCCTCCCACTTCAGCCTCCCAAGGGCTAGGATTATAGGCATGTGCCACCATGTCTGGTTTCTGTACTAAAATTTTTGCAGATTGGGATGTGACAACAAACTAGCACATTTTTTTTTCCTTCTTTACAACTTTGTGAATAGACATGAAAGTCAAGAGTGTCTGCTTTGTCATGTCAGGTAGTACTTTACAGCCTCTCCCTGGTGAGTCTGAATTCCTGGCATAAGGTCACTTTCGTTCTTCAGCCACTTAGGTAAATGGGGGTTATTGGGACACAGGCCCTGTGACATGCAGAGGTCTATGTGAGAACTAAACCAGTTCCTAAGTGACAAACAGCATAGACTGTGTGGATCTGCAGGGCTGATTCCCACAGTGGCAGCAGGGAGGAGTGGGGTGGCCTGGGGTTTCACCACAAGACTCCAAATGGTATAGGATTTAAAACTCAGGAACAGTTCGTTTCTGTTGTTTGTTTGTTTTTTGAGACAGGGTCTCACTATGTAGTTGAGACTGACTAGGAACTCCCCATGTAGCCCAGGCTGGTCTCAAATTTACAGTGATCCTCCTGCCTCAGCCTCCCGAGTGCTGGGATTAGAGGTGAGCACCACCGCACCTGGTTCTGGAACTCACTTTGTAGCCCAGGCTGGTCTCAACTCACAGATCCTCCTGCCTCAGAATCCTGAATATTGGGATTACAGGCGTGCGCCACCACGCCCGTCTGGAACTGTTCATTTCTGGAAATCTCCATTAGATAGTGCAGACCACAGCTGGCCATGGATAAAGGAAAGCACAAGGTGCAAACAGACTCCAGCCTCACCCCACTGCAGACTGATGGGACCAGCCAGGCCCTAACAGTGGTCCTGGAGTCTGAGGATTTGTGACCCCAGGCCATATGTGAGGAGTTTGACTCAGCTGTTCCCTGGAACCAGGGGATGGGAGGAAAAAGCAGTGGGGACACATACCTGCTGTCTGCTGGGACTCAGGATTCTTTACAGTCTGCGCAGCTGAATTAGTCAGCTTTGTAACAAACAAGCACGACCATATCATCTCAAGCCTGTGAGGTGACATAGCCTAATCTGCCCAAGCACTGCTCTGATGTCCTCACTTGGGTGGCCCTTGTCCCTACTTTGACAGGCTCACTGCCCTCCCCACTCACTTGAGGAACAGCTCTTCCAGGGTGCTGTGTGGCTTCAACTGAGAGGCATCCAGGAAGCAGGGCAGCGGGCGGCGCCGGGGCAGGAACACAGTCTCACCGGGGTGCACCTGTGGGATGTCCTGCAGCGACACAGTGAACTTCTCCACCAGCAGCCTGGCAAGGCAAGGGCAGGGAACAGGTCAGAGGCCACCTGGGTCCCAGCAGGGAAGGCCCTGGAACCCTGCCCTGATGTGCCCCTTATAGACCTGGGAGACTGCGCCACCCACTGATGGAGGGAAAGCCCACACCAGCCAATACACCCCGATCACTCTGGGAGCACTAGCTCAGGGCCCTGGGCTGCCCTCACTGGCCCTGTTCAGGTCAAACCATTATGGCACCTTTTCAATGGCAGGCACTAACAGATAAGTCAAGATTGGACCACCAAAGAAAAGCATACACAAATCCCCACAGTGTCCTGAGTCACAGAGCAGACCCAGGCACAGAGGAGCCCCACTGTGAGAGGGGCAGGGTGAGAGGGCCAGGGAGCAGGAGGGACTGGCTACAGTGTGCCGGTTGAGAGGTGGCATGGGCATGGCTGGAAGCACAGACAGCAGCAGAGGCTCAGTGCCAGTGCAGAAGCTGGGTGCTCCCTCCAGGCCAGCCGTCCTGTGCTCCCAGGGACCACCCAGGGAGCCTGCTGAGACACAGATCTCAGATCAGAGCAGATCTGAGCTGGCACATGGACAGGGAAGGAACAAGGAGAAGACATCCTTACCAGTGCTATCATGGTGCACTGAAATAGGGACAGGGCAAGGAAGGTGGTTAAAAATGAATCTGGAGTTGATGATGGTAGCTCACATCTGTAATCCCAGCACCCAGGAGGCTGAGGCAGGAGGACTGCCTCGAGTTCGAAGCCAGCCTGAACTATATAGTGAGACTCAGTCTCAAAACACCAAAAACAAAACAAAACAACCCTGAGAATGAGCTATATCTGACAGGGACACCTGGGCACTGTACTAACATCTAGCAGATGGCAGAACATTGTATGTCTGTGTCCGTGTGTGTGTGTGTGTGTGTGAGGGAACACACGTGTGTGCGAGTTGTTCCCCCTAATCCAGAGGGGTGCGTTCCAGCCCCACCATAGATGCCTGGAATAGAGGACACTCGCACCTTATACCATGTCTCTTGGATAACTAGGAACAGATCGCAGCCGGCTGCAACAGCAAAACCAGAGTTATTTCCTTTTCCTTCCTCACAGATTCACAGATTTGTTCTTCTATAGATCTTGGCAACCACTCACGGATTTCTTTCCTTCCATACTGAGGTGAGAATATTCCTTTTCACTCACGGGAAGTGCTTCGCACTTCTCAGGCAGAGCTGAATTGTGCGCCCTGCTCTGTGCACACCAGGGTTATCTGGACACAGCTCTTGACAATGATGATCAACCTGAGACTCCAGAGTGACTAATGTACAGATGGCATACACAGAGCCCACGTGCTGCTTTAGGGGCGACTCATATCCAGCAGAGATGGAGCCAGCCACTGTGCACCATAGGGCTGCAGTTTAAAACCACTGACTGCTAAGCTTTGGGGTCTTCCATTTAATATTTTCTGACAGTGGTTCAAATGTGGGTAGCTAGAAAAATGGAGCCATGGATAAGAGGGGACAGCTCAACATGTGGACACACACACACACAAGTATCTTTCAGTACACACAACAACACACACAAATGAGAGACCCAGCTAGGATTGAGGGTCATGCCCAGGAGACAGAGTGAGGATAAGGGGAGGGGAAGAACAGACATTTCCTTCATGTAACTTCATGTTTACATCATGTAACTATGCTCTGCTAGATGATGTAGCAACCTAATACCCATTTAATAAGTCCAGCATGGGAGCACATGCCTGAAATCTTGGGAGGATGAGGCAGGTGGATTGTGAGTTTGAGGACAGCCTGGGCTACACAATGAGACTCTGTCTCAAAAACACCAAACCAAAACAAAACAAGTGCATGCATTAACAACAATAGCAAAACAAAACAAGCTGTGGACACTGCCTCCTCTTCTTGCTCCAGGCCCAGTAAAACAGAAAACCATAGGAAGAACAGTTTGTGGGCCCATCAGCACCAGGAACAGGAGCGCTGGCCCTAGAAGAGGCCCACCAGCCATGAGACACTGTCTTGCTTTCTGGCAAGGGATGCAAGGGGAGGCCCCACCTGCATCACAGAGCTGTCCTGAGGACGAAAACCAGGAAGGTGCTGGGGGAGCATGAGAGTGCATGCCTATAATCTAGCAATCTGGGAGGCTGAGGCAGGGGGATCACAAGTTCAAGCCCAACTTGGGCAATTCAGTGATTTAACAAGACTGTCTCAACATAAAAAATTTCAAAAAGGCTGGGGATGTAGCTTAGTGTGAAGGTCCTGAGTCTAATCCCCAGCACTGAAAAACAAGCAAACAAACAAGGATGATCCATTCCTGCAGGCCTTTGGCAATAGCTTGGAAACTGCCACCACAAATGGTAAAATAATTTTCTATTTTGTTCATGTCTCTGTCATTAAGAGTTTTGCAAGCATCTGTTAGGCTGCTTCTTAGGCTGCTTTTACAGTTAAAATAAATGGAATTATTAAACATCCATAAGAACAAACTAACCTCATTTATGAAGGGGTCCTAGCCCTGTCCACAAAAATGTCCCTCAAAGGGACTTTTGTGGTGTTCCCCATAATGCATGTGCATTACTGGTAACTGTGAGCCGACTATTCCCCCATCTAATTGTGGACTTCCTGTGAGTCTGAGATGGGAATAAAGGATCATGCTGTGGTTTAAATATCTGCCTCTCCCTCCCTGCACCCCCCAGCTCCAGTGCACAAAGGTCTTTTAATTTTAAGAAAAAGAGAATTTAGGATGTCATCCCTTTAAGGCCAGCGGCAGCACCACAGAGCTAAATTCCCAATCCTTTGTCATCCCTTAGAGATGCAAGCCAATTCTTAGGGAATGACAGGAGCTCTGCTCCGGATAATCAGGGTTCTGTCTAAATCATCCGGTTGTGACAATTTTAGGAGGGCATGTCTAGTGGACAGTGCCACCTTGCCCACCACCACATGACCCCTCAGACTCTGTCCCAGCCCTGCCAACTCCGGCTCTGTTCAGAGATGATTGTAAGGTTGAACAGTCCCTTCAAAACCACCCAACATCAAAACAGCCACCTCAAAGTAGCTGCTGTCAAAGAGGCTTTCTCAGAGCCCACTGGGAACTATCATGTGCCTAGAAGGGCAGCGCTGGGCTCAGGGCAGGAAGCCCTCTGCTCTCCAGGGGACCTCACAGCACCACACCCCTCCATGGGAGTGATTTTGAAACCTCCAACCCCTTCCAGGACCTCCAGAGTCCTAAATGGGCAGCAGGAATTCTTGCCACAGTGATTTGCCTGCCCAGGCTCTCCACCCCAGAGAGTGCAGAACCTGGAAGCCAAAGTCTTGAATCTCCACTGGGAGACAAGGTGCGAGGGACGCCACTGGCCCAGCTCGCTGGAGACACTTGACCTGCACACCTGCCTTCCACCTGCCCTTGGAAGGCAGGTGCTGTCCTCCTGGGGTCCCATGGGGGACTGTGAAGCACATGCCCTGTGCTCCAAGTATGTGCACAGTTCTTTTGGTCCAATCTTGTCCCAACCTTCACAGTCCGGACAGGACCAAGAGGAAGCTGGCATCAGTGCAGGGCCACTCATTCTGCCCTCCTTGCATTTGTCACCAGTTCAAAGTGACATTCAGCCCACCTGTGTCCTCCAGTAGCTTTGTGCAGATCAAACCCCTGTGGCTATGGTGTCTTTTCTCGGGGACATGGAGGCTGCCTGTGTCTGTCTCAGAGCAGTGGAAGACACTGACCCTCCACCTGGGAAGCCAAAGTGTCCACCATGTGACATTTTGATGGCAAAGAGCCACAGTTTGGCACTCAGGAGATGTTCGCCCCGCCACTTCCTGGATGTGTCTCCGCAAAAGGTCAGGAAGATCACGCGCGAGGCAGATTCCAGTGACTTTGCTTTTCCCTATGCCTCGGGCCACCATGACCCTTTATCCCATAAGCATCCCTAAACTGTCTTAGGGAGGCGGACCTGAGGGTGCCTCTTATTGGGCCTGGCTGCCTCATGCATAACTGGCTGTTCCAGCTGTAGAACTGAGCCTGGGGCCATCACAGATAGGGAACAGTCAAGAGGTGGGGTCCCCTAAGCCAGGCCATACTCCACCCCTTCTGTGACAGTGCCCCCCACCTCAGGCCAGGATCAGCCCCTGACCGCTGGTTGGGAGTGGTCGCCCCACAACCTCACAGTCCATCACGGTGTCAGCCTAATCAGCCCAGGGCCTAAACACTTATTATCTACCCAAAAACTGTACAGAAAGTATTCTGATCTAGGCCAAGACAATTAGCAGAAAAACTTGAGAAAAGGGTGAGCAGCTAGCCAGGTGTGGCTCACAACCATTTCTGGGCAACCAAAATGTGGTGAATAACTTGGGGAATCCTAGAAATGGGGCCATGGGATCATTCAACACGCACAGTCAACCACATAGTCAAAAGCTGGCATGGTGGCGCACACCTGTGATCCCAGCACTTGGGAGGCTGAGGCAGGAGGATTGTAGTGATTTTGAGGACAGCTTGGGATACATAGTGAGTTTGAGGCCAGTCTAAACTACATAGCAGGACCTTGCCTCAAGTAATCCCCAAGCCAAATCACACACTCAAGCTCAAAGCTCACAGAGAAAGCCACACCTGGACAGCTGCCCAGCTGGGTCCTGCGGCTGTGACCTCAGGCCCTCTTGAGTACAGGGCTCCCTCCCAAAGACCTCCCTCTTCCTCATCATCCACTGAAGCATCCCATCCCCTGTGAACATGCTGCTACTTCCTCCATGAATGGAGACCGACAGGAGGAAACCACCCAGCCACCCACCCAACCCCACTTCCCTCCACAGTTCCAGCCCAGCTTTTTCCTGCTGGAGATACATGGCCTGCACACCTGCCTCCCGCCTGCCAGCATGGGACCATGGGATCTGTTCCCTCAGGGAATTCAGACCCCTGCACAGCTCCCTCTGCACTCTGCACCCGGGTGCTCATCCTATCTCAGAGCTTTAAATGTCACCAGCACACAGCAACTTCTGCCTTGCCTCACAGCCCACCTGCCCCATCTAGGCCCTAGGACTTCCCAAAACAATTCTTTCTTTTGAAACCGGGTCTCACTATGTAGTCCAGGCTGACCTTGAACTCACCCTGGCCTCGAACTCACAGCAATCCTCCTACCTTAGCCTGCCAAGTGTTGGGATTACAGCTATACACCACTGTGTACTGCTATTTTTGGACTTTTGCCTTGCAGCTGTCCCCACAGTACAGGTCGTGGAAACCAGAATTTCTTTCCCCTAAAGAACCCCCATAACCTTCCTATGATGCCTCTAGATACTCCTATGGTGTACCTGGTCTAGGACAGCTGAGAACAGGCCTAAAACCCTATCCAGGGAGTTTGGCCCCACACTCACAAGAAAAAACACATCCAGAGGGCCCAGGAAGCAGTGACCAGACAGCCACCCAACCAGGCTCTCACAATCCTGTTTTCATAGGGAGGTTCCAGAAAAACCCAGGACAGGGCTCAGAGCACCCTGATGACAGAGCACCCAGCATAGGCAGTGCCTGGAGAGGGGGCAGAAGCCCCTTCCCTCAACCCATGAATTTCTCCATCAGAATCCTTCCTGACAGCGCTGTAACAAACCTGCAAACATGAGAAATGTTTCCCCAAGTTCTGTGAGCTGCTCTAACAACTCCATTAAACCCAAGGAGAGGGCATGGCGTCCCTGATTTGGAGCTGGTCAGTCAGAGGGACCAGGAAAACTACCAGCTGGCAACTGAAAGGGGTGAAGGGCGAGGGAAGGGACTGAGGGATACAAGGGTGGAGGGGGTCCGTGGGCTGTGCGTCTGTGTCCCCGAGAATTCCCAAGTTGGGATCCTAATCCCTGACGTGGAAGATTTGGAGGTAAGCAGGTAACAAGGTCAGGATCATTGTGAGCAGCAGTGTTATACATAGAGCTCTATCACCCTCCTCCTGACACACGCGGACACACGATATTGGCCATCTGCAACCTGGGAGACTGCCTTGCTCACAACCCTCGTCCACAGTGCTATCACAGCAGCTCTCAAGAATCAAGGCAGACGGAAAAGTGTAACCCAAAGATGAACTGATGCCAGGTGTGGTGGTGCTCGCCTGTAATCCTAGCTCTCAGGAGGCTGAGGCCAGAGGACTGCTGCAAGTTCAAGGCCAGCCTGGACTACATCGTTAGACTGTCTCAAAAAACAAAGTTTCAACTGTGGCCCAATACCTCTTCGGCCCTGTGGACCAGATGAATCCAGACCTCCCTCCCAATAGCCCACTTAAATCCAGGCCAGCAGAGCCCCAGTCAGATGATGGCGCTTAGGCAGCTACCTTCTCTGCCCGGATGGGGAGGATGAACGCTGCATGTGGCTGTAATCTCCCTGAAGAAGCAGTTTTCAGACTGGTTACTTTCCCAAGAGGTCTGATTCTGTGAATTTAGGCAGATAACTGGGCTATATTTTATGATCACTGCATTCTCAAAGGCCAGTCCAGACCCTGAAGGCCGATGGGCCATCATCGGCTGGGTGTTCCCTGAATCTGCAAGTGAATGTGGCTGTAGGAAGAGGCAACTTTCCTTTCCTTCTTTTCTTCTCCCTCCTCTCCTCTCCCCTGCCCTACTTTCCTCCTTTCCATTCCCCTCCTTCTCTTTCTTCCTTTCTTTGCTTTTTTGAGACAAGGTCTCACTATGCAGGTCAGGCTGACCTTGAACTCTGAGTATCCCAGATTGGTCTCAGCCTCCAGAGTGCAGGGGTTACACCATACCCAACTCATAAATGTACACAAACTGCTGGCTGGGCCCCCACCCCTCACCTGTGCTCGGGCGTGAGTAGTGTGTCTTCATCCTCACTGTCTTCCAAGCATCGGAGATCGTGGGAGTCCTGCAGCAGCAGCCTCTCTAGCTCCTGCTCTGGGGCCTGTTCCCTGTGGCGACACAAGAGCCAGTCACCAGGCTGCCGAGACCTCATGGCATGGCCAGGGAAGAAGTAGGCCCATTCCCTGGGCCCCCTGCATTGTTTGGGGGACAGCAAGGGGTGCCTGGCATGGAGGGTGCTGGCTCCCCAAGTAAGGCAGACATCAACAGAAAGCTCCATGCACAACGGTATCCCAGGGCCTGGCACACGTCTGCCACTGAGCTACATCCCAGCCCTTTTCATGTTTATTATTTTGAGACAGAATCTACTAAGATGCCCAGGCTGGCCTTGAACCTATGATACTTGTGCCTCAGCCTTCCAAGGAGATGAGATTACATGCACCCAATTGGCATTCACTCCTATTTTAGCACACCCAGGCTTGGGCCTGGCCTTCTGCTCCCTGGGGCCCAGCTGCACCTGGGTGACCTGGCATCTGTAGAGGCCATGCCTGGGTGTCCTCCAGGGGAGGCTGCGCCCAAACATCCTGGCACCTAAGGGAGGCCATACCCAAACACCCTGGCACCTCTGTCACAGCTGCATTCCCCAGCCACGAATAGTCAGAGTCTCCTCTCCGCTTGTTCTCTTTGCCCTCTGTGTCCTGCAGATACTATGTGGGTACCAAGCCCCTGTCCTCCTACAGGTTGGGAGAAGCCCTGGGGTCTCCCCAGCCCTGTCCCTGCCAGGTTGAGCCCTGGCTGTGCCCACTGGCCTGCAGGTTCCCAATATCCCGCTTGCAGCCCAGGCTCTGCCTTGTTCTCAAAGCATCCAGTGGCTACTGACCTGGTGGCTCCAGCTCAGTGAGCCCTTCAGATGCCACCTGTGCAGGTCTGCTCACCTTTTTGCACAAGATGCCAGTGCCCCTGACATCCAGACACACAGCCATGGGGTGTTCCCAGGATGAGCCCTGCTCCTCTCTCCCCTGTGCCTCCCATTCTTCCTCCACCATGGCAAACACGTCTCTGCCTGCTCAACACTTCCCCGCTCCCCATGTGCTCCTGAGGTCGCAGCCTTGGTCCCCTGGCACACCCCAGCCACACCTTTGGCTGTGTCCCATTTGCCCTAGCCCTGAGCGCTCCTGTCCCTGCCAGCCCAGCGGCATGGCCTGTCCTCTCTGCCTGTCTCCATTCTCCAAAGCCCCTCTCATCCTGCAAGGGTGAGAAAAGTCTGGGAGCTTTTTTGACCTTCAGACCAAGAACTGCACCACCATTCCAGCCCCAGTGTAGCTGTGTAAGGAGCAAGGAGGTAATTCAAGCAAAACTGGCTCATAGGGGGATAGACAGATAGATTAGTGTCCTCAGAAAAAGAGAACCCAGGGCTGTTGGAGAGCTCAAAGCTAGAGCACTTGCCTAGCACACAGGAGGTGCTGGGTTTGATCCCCAGCCCTGGGGAAATAGACAGCAGACAGCTTGCTGTCCCTGCTGTGAGACACAGGGAGGCAGCAGCCTCCTGAGGAGCAAATCAGCTAGGACCTACTTGTTAGGAGAGATGAAGGCCTGCAGCTGCAGCCCGCCAGGATGGTTCCTGACATTTCCCAGTATCTGCCAAATGCACAGCAGAGCAACAGGCCGCTGCCCCACCCCACCTTCTAGTCTAGAGGGGAGAAAACACACTTGGGAAGGAAGAAGTCAAACAACAGTACTCTCCAGATTAGTGCCCAGCCTGGGCAACTCAGCAAGATTCTTCCTCAAAAAAAAAGGCTGGGGTTTGATCCCCCAGTACTAGGGAAAGAAGAAAAAAGAAAGAGAAGATCTGAAGGAGGGGTGTGGTGCAGAGAGGGAGGCAGAAGGAAGAAGATGTGCAGAGGGCCAGGCTGTCCAGGGATGGAACCCAGTCTGTCCCCAGGTGTCTACTGCCCCCATGTGGACACCAGGCTGCACTGCGCACACTCAGCCACTTGTAAAGGACAGATGATGCTGGGGACCCAATGGATCTGGGTTGTGTGAGCAATGTACATGGTCATCCAAGGCGACCCTGGCTCGGACACAGCTGTCTCCAGCTACTGTGCAGTGTGCAGAGCCTGCTGTGGGCAGCAGGGGCCTGTGTTTCCACCCAAAGGGTCCCCGGTGTGTGCCAAACTGCTCATGGGCATTAAAGGCCAGGTAGCATCCCCTGGGCCCTGAGGGCTCGAGGTTCAGATCAGTCAACTGAATTTGCACCTCCAGAAGCTGCTGGGTTGAGGAGTAACTTGACTTGTACACCAGACTGGCTTCCCCCGCCAGGTCAGCACTGCAGTGCCAGGGTAGGTAGGAAATAGGCTGGCAGCAGAGGCTGGTGCCTTGTGCCCATAGGGAGGCTGGGTCCCTCCAGCTGAACCGCATGACTCTGCATGCAGCAGGCAGCATGGAGCCCAGGAGGAGAGGGCCAGGGTGACCACTCTGTCACCTTGCAACCTGAAGCTCCCTGCCTCATGGAGACACCACCTCCTCTGGCTTAACAGCAATTTGCACACAGGTGGAGGAAAGCTGGGCATACACAAAGGAAGTCACATAGCTCTAAAATTGCTGAAATCCCCAAAGAAATGAACGCACGGCAGACTCTGCTCACCTCTTCTCCTGCAGTAAGGAATCTAAGGAGTTGATGTAGTTCTTGGAGCCCCTGGGGCTGCACTGGAGACACAGGAAGTGGGGAAGAGAGAGGAATTTGAAATTAGAGAAGCAGGAAAAGGAAAGGTTTAGCCTAAAATAAGCCCTTTGTCGCTGGGCGGTGATCCCAGCACCTGGGAGGCTGAAGCAGGAGGACTGCCACAAGTTGGAGGCCAGCCTGGGCTACATAGTGAGACCCAAGTTTTCTCCCGCACTTCCACCCCAGTCACCCAGTTCCTCCTCGAAGTTCCTTGGGACTCTGGTGAACATTGCTCTGGTGCTTTATATTTTATTTACTTATTTATTATTACTCATATTTTTGATAGCGTCTCACTATGCTGGCCTCGAATTCCCTTTGTCGCCACAAGCTGGCCTCAAACTCAGTGATTCTTCTGCCATTGCCTCCAGAGTACTGGGTCACAAGTATGCACGGCCATGGCCTGCTCCGAAGCCCTATTCTTAGAATCCATTTCTGGATCCTTGGATGTTGGAGTTTTTCATCTGTCCCCAAGAGTAGATCCCCGACATGAGGTTCATCCTTGATGTGTCCATGCGGGGAACCTGGTCACTGGGTCACCAGGGTCAGCCTGAGTCTCCATGCCAGCCCAGCCTGGACTCAGTCACCTCAATGCCAACATCGGATGTGAAGGCCTAGAGGGACCCTGCACAGAAGTGACACTGAATTGGGGGCCACCCCGGGGCAACCTGTTAGGAGCAGAAACAGCGAGAGTTATGGCCCAAGGGTGGGGCACAAGGCCAGGAGAATGGTCTGGGTGGCTGCAGGGGGACAGTTGGGGTGGGGCCAAGGTGGTGGGGCTCACCGAGGTGTTTGTGCTGGGCTCTGGGATGGCCACCAGCTGGCTTGGGCTGGCCCTGCTGCAACTTGGCTCCTCCAGGGAAGCCAGGCCCTCCTTTGGGTCCACATCCGTGGGCTGTGGCTCCAACCCCTTGGCCAGTGTCGTCTCTCGGGCCTGCAGAGGCCAGGGACTAAGGAAATCGACAGGCGGTGGGCTCCAGTTGCTGGGGAATAGGTCCCCGGATGTATCCATTGCAGGCTCCACAGGGTCAGGGCAGCAGACCTGGAATCTGCGGCTCTGGGCTGATGGTGACTGCTGAGATCCCTGTGGACAGGACATAGTGCTATGGTGCCCCCATCTGCCTGCTGCTGTCCCAGACAACAGGAGATACCAGGGGAGGAAAGGACAACTTGGGATTTCCAGGTGGGGGCTGCCTCATGCAGGTGAGGAACACCTAACTTCTCCCCAGGTGAGAGCAGGCACAGCTTCTGGGATCTGGTCAGCTACCACCACCAGTGGGACACTGAACAACATCCCACCCTTTTTTATTTTGTATTTTGATTTTGATTTTTTTGTTTGTTTGTTTTTTTGAGACAGGGTCTCACTATGTAGTTGAGACTGACTTGGAACTCACTATGTAGCCCAGGCCAGTCTTGAACTCACAGCGATCCTCCTGCCTCAGCCTCCCCAGTGCTGGGATAACAGGCCTGCACCACCATGCCCGGCTTTATTTTGTATTTTGAAACAGGATCTCACAAGTTGTCCAGGTTGGGCTCAAACTTGCAATCCTCCTGCCTCAGCCTCCCAGAGTGCTAGAAGATAGTAGGTCCAGCAGAAAAATTGTGTTCCAAGCTATTTCACTAGTCTTGCTGGGTTGGTGTCATCCCAGAAGGCTGTTTGCTGACAAGGAGTGGGCATGGCCACCTGATCCCTGCCATGTCCCAGGCACCAGCACAGAGAGGGGACGTGCAGAGAGATCTGTGAATTTCCGTGGCATCACAGGGACCCAGGGACAAGCCCAGTCAGCCTCTGTCAGCATAACCAGCCTCTGTCCCAGCCAGGGTGGACCATGCTACACACAAGGCCATCTCTGCAAGTCAGGCCCAGGCTGGGATCAACAGCAACACAGAGGACAGATGGGTTGCCAACACACAGAGCTGAGGCTGGGAAAGCAAACTGTGACAAACAGCATGGACTTGTGACACACGACTCAGTAACAACTAAGTGATCAGCAAATAAAGATGTGCCCTGCCAACTGTAGGCATGGGTGTGAGGACACGAACTGCCTCCAGAACCTAAAATGCTTTATTTCTATCGGGGAATGGTGGCGTATTCCTAGAATCCCAGCACTCAGGAGGCTGAGGCAGGAGGATGCTTGAGCTAAGGGGTCTGCAGCCAGCCTAGACAACACAGCCAGACACTGTCTCAAAGAAAATAAATAAATAAATAAATAAGTAAAACTAACAATAACCGACAGGTGCAACGGTGCATATCTGGAACTCCAGATACCTGCAAGGCTGAGGCAGAAGGGTCACAAATCTCAAGCCAGTCTGGGCAACTTAGCAAGACCTTGTGACAAAAGGCAAACAAAACAAAACAAAACAAAAAAACCCATGAAATATAGACACACAAAGTAATAATTAAACAACCATATTAACAGATATGCAATGTACAAAGATATAATTTGTGACAAAATCTAAAGGGAGAGGCGGAGTTGTCAAGGAGGCTTTTGTACACTACTGAAACTAAACCAGTAATGACTCACTTATTATACATGTAAGATGTAATTTATAATAACCACTGTGAAAATAAAAATATCTGGAAAAGGAAATGAGCTATGAAAACAACACATTTTAAACACACACACACACACACACACACACACACACACACACACACAAAATAAACAAACACAAAGGGCCAGGGATTTAGCTCAGTGGTTCTGCTGCCTACCTCGAAAGTGCAAGGTCTGGAGTTCAGTCCCCAGTAACAGAAAAGTAAAATAAACACAAAAGAAAGTGCGGGAAGAACAAAAGAGATGTGAGACACAGAAAACAGAGCAAAGCTGCAGAAACCTCATTGTCAAGAAGTCATTCAAACGTAAATGGCCAAATTCTCCAATCAAAATGGAGGGTTGGCAAAACAGATTAAACAAACAGGATCCAACTTTGATAGCTTCAGCTTTGAATCCAAAGGTGCAAACAGGTTCAGCACTTGGGAGGCTGAGGCAGGAGGACTGGCAGCAGGACTGCCAGGAGTTCCAGGCCTGCCTGGGCTACACAGTGAGTTCAAGGTCAGCCTGAACTGCATATCGAGACACTGTCTCAGGAGAAAAAAATGCACCCTAGAAGCAGGGAGTTAGTCTGACATGTCCTAAGTGTCCTAGGCCAAGTGCCACACGGAGAACACAGGGCTTTGCAGTCATGGGGGAGGCAGAGTAAACAGCCTTATCACTTCTCCACCGGCTTTTTGTTTGTTGTGGTGGCACCAGGATTGAACCCAGAGCCTAACGTGTGCTGGGCAAGTGCTCTATTGCTGAGCTGTGTCCCCAGCCCATGATCCTCACTTCCTCCTCCCCCTCCTTCCCCCCTTCTCCCCCCTAAGCCAACATCCAGCCTGTGCTCCCCCCACCTCACTCACTCTTTTCAGAAGAAACCTGTGAACACTGAGTGCGTGTGTGCCCATCTGTGTGTGCACGTGTGTGTGTGCAGTGCTGGACACAGGACCCAGTGCCTCGCGCGCACAGCTAAGCACTCTGCCATGGAGCCACCTCCCAGGCCAGTGTCACCTTGCTTTGGCCATCACTGTTTTTCCACTTCCCTGGCTCCCAGCAAAATGAGCTGCTCTTGAAGTGCAGCTGCAAGGCCGAGTAATCTGGGAAACCTGGGGTCAGACGCCGCCCTGTTTGTTTCTGTGAGCCCTGCTTCGTGGGCGGTTGGATCCCAGCGCCTGGTTTTCTACCCACAGAGGAAGGCCAGTGAGGGCAGCGGCTCTGAGCAGCAGGACCCGCTGGGGATGTGCAGAACAAATAACAGGGAATGGGAGGGAGGGTACCCTCAAAGCAAAATAGAGCACTCCCGATGTCAGAACCGAACATGCGTCACACGGGGCGGGACTGGGGACAAAGAAATGGCAGCTCCCCGTGTGTCCCGGGGACCACCGCAGGCCACCGCTACCACAGGCTGAAGGAAGCCTGGGCCTCGGCATGCCAGGAGGGTGGCCCTGCCTGGCTTGGGCCAGGCTCGGAGGGAAATCCACGCACACTGCGGACCCTACAGTCCATGAACAAGCCAGGTATGGTGGCGCACACCTGTCATCCCAGCATGCGGAAGGCTGAGGCAGGAGGCTCCCCGTGAGTTCGAGACCAGCCTGATCAACACAGTAAGATCCTCTCAAAAAACCAAACCAAACCAGAGTCCATGAAAGTGGAACCACCACCCACCCACAGCCCGAGGTTCCTCCGCCTTTGGTTTCTCACCTGTACCGGAACCCAGGGCCCGAGGGGCACTCGAAGCCTGAGCCTGGCAGCCTGCAGCAGGGAGGGAAACGGCAGGAGGCGGGCGGGATGCGCCAACCGGACCACTAGACCACCAGCGGCCTGCCGAGCTCAGAAATCGCAGCGCTAGAGCCTCTCCCACCCTCAGCGCCCCAGCTGCGCCGCAGCCACAGCTGCGCCGTTTGGCCCACGTGGCAGGTCACGTGCACTACCACGTGCATCCCCACGCTGCTCGACCACGTGCACCCCCACGCTGCGCGCGTCTTGCGCCCCCTGGAGGCCGCCGTGGCTCAGTGACCGTGACCCGGGCCACAACCTGGAACTAGGGCTTACTGATGACACAGGCATGTGCGCCAAGGGCACGTGGAAGAAGATGTGAGCCGGATCCTTGGTCTGACGGTAGGACCTTGCCAAGGTTAAAGCCCAGCTGGGCATGGTGGCGCATGCCTGTCATCCCAGCACTCGGGAAGCTGAGGCAGGAGGATCGCAGTGAGTTCAAAACCAGCCTGGGCTACATAGTGAGTTCCAGGTCAGTCTCAACTACATAGTGAGACCCTGTCTCAAAAAACAAGCAAACAAAAAATAGAGACAGAGCCATCCCCAGGGGAAAAAGAATAATGACCCATGTGAGAATAACCCTTTCAGAGCCAGAAGCGGTGGTGCATACCTGTAATCCCAGAACTCAGGAGGCTGAGGTAGGAGGATTGCTGTGAGTTCTAGGCCAGCCTGGGCTGCATAGTGAGACCCTGTCTCAAACAAACAAGAAGGAGGGTTGGGTGAGGCCCTCAGTAAGTGGTTTCGAAGGAGGTAGTTACGGAAAGGAAGTGGGAGGAAGACCAAGAACTGAGAGAGCAGCGCTGGCCAGAGGGAGACCTAGACTGCAGTGCTGTGGCCGGGATGTAGCCTTTCCCTTACCGGCACACACATGGGAAGCCTGGCCTCCGGGGTGGTACCGTCAGGAGGTTGTGGGCCTTTCAGTATAGGGCCTGGCAGTAGGTTGCCGAGGGACTCAGCCTTGGGAGAACTGAGGGGGATCTCACAGAGGGAGGTATTTCTCCCAGGACAGAGACTATGGAAACTGGTGCAACTGCTATGTAGATCAGTATTTTCTTTTCCTAAAACAAAAACAAAAAAACACTAGAGATTCCATTTGACCCAGATGTTCCTCTTCTAGGATTCTTCCCAAAAGAGCTAAAGGCATCATGTTACAGTGATCCATGCACGCTCATACTCACAGCAGCACAACTCATAAAAATTAAACCTCAGAAGCGGCCTAAATGTCCATCAACAGATGAATGGATCAAGAAAATGTGTTTACACGCAATGGAGCACTGCTCCGCCATGAGGACAAACTTGAATCATTTGTAGGAAAATACCTGCACCTGAGACCATTAACGTTAAGTGAAATAAAGGCACAAGGATTAAATATCACATGGTTTATCTTATGCGAGAAACCCAAAGTATAAATAAAGTGCAAAATACAAGAAGGGCAGGGGATTTAGTTAAAAATCAGTGGTGCCACCGCTTGCCTCACAAGTGCAAGGTCCAGAGTTCGATCCCCAGGACCAAGAGAAAAGAAAAATACCAGACAGATAATAGAAAGTAAGGCGATAGATCTTTTTCAAAAGGGAAGGGGACCAAAAGATGGAGGGAGAAGGAGACATAAGAAGAATTAGGATGTGTTAAGCACATGTACCAACTCCCCATGAGGAAGTGATCATTGGATACTGCAAAGATGAACTCATAACAATAAAATTAAAAAAAAAAAAAAGTAAGGCTGGCCCCTATCCAAGCTTCCTCATCCCCATATCACCTTTTTCTGGTGAGTGTCCATCACTCAAATCCCAAGTTGTTGGATATCAGATGTGCCAAGTTCATGTACCCTGAATACCAAAGAATTAATTCCAAAGCACAAAGGAGGTTAAGAGTAGGAAAGGTTTCTAAATTTCTTTTTATTTTGGTTTTTTGAGACAGGGTCTCACTATGTAGCTCAGGACAGCCTTGAATCATGATGTAGCCCAGGCTGGCCTCATACTTGTAGCAATACTCTTGCCTCAGCCTCCTGAGTGCTGAGATTACACGTGTGAACTACCACGCCCCACAGGAGTAGGAAAGATTTATTAAGAGAAAGTTCCTGGGAGACAGGAGGGGACCCGAAGGGGTTTCTACAGATGCTATTTCTCCAAGAATTTTTTTCATTGAGTTTATTGGTTCATTTTAGGTGTACAATATGATGACATTCATCTTTGGGAATTTGTACCTTTACATGATATATCTTGGTTCTTATTTTTTCCCCATTCCCCTGCCCTTCCTTCAATTCCTCCACCCCTATTTGCAAAGACTTTGTTTTTGTTTTTTCTTTTTCTCATAATTATTCCTTCCCCTCTTCCCCTTTGGACCTTTTCTTCCTATTCTCCAAGAGTATTTTATAGAGCAAAATCACAAGGTGGAAACAATGGGAGTCACATACCATCAACCAATAGGACAACAGTTGCTCAGCTGATGTGGATCCAATAGGTACACGAGGCACGCAGCAAGGATACACAGCAAGGAGCATTGTGAACGTCAGCTTATCTGTAACTTCTAACATAGAATGAAGCATTTTTGGAAAGGGATGAGTCCAGATGTTCTGGTCATCTGATGTCTGCCTGGACTTGACCCAGTGCTGATTATAGTAGAATCTCAAGTTGCTGTTTGTCTCTTAGGGAGGCCTTCAGGCCTGGCCATTGCATCTCCACATTGGGGGCCTGGCCTACCTCAAATGTGCCTCCAGTCACAGTTCTGAAATGTTCTCATTTTCTGCATCTCCAAGGGCCTATCCCTGTCTTCCCATCTATTAATTTTTATCTAATTTAGCTGCCTGTAATAATCCCATCCATCAAGAGGTCCTCACCAAAGCCAAACAGAACCTGCTCCACAGTCTCCAACATCTGGCCCTGTGAGCTAACAGGTTCTCCTACATAGTCCAGGCAGGCCTGAAACTATGTAACCCAGGCTAGCCTTAAATTTGAAGTGATCCTCCTGCATCGGCCTCCTGAGAGCTGGGATTACAGGCCTCTACCACCATGCTTGGTTTAAACTTTTTTGAAAAACGTGGATTTGTGATAGTGTCAGAAAACGGGCCCCAGGACATCGCTGCTGGGCCGGGAGAGGCCTGCAGGGCCCAATTCCTTGAAGGCAGGAGGGAAGAGCTAGAGCAGAGGAGGAGAAGATAGGCTGAAACTCAAGATGGGCAGGCGGGGTATAAGAAAAGCTTCAGGGCTCAGCCCAGTCACTGCCTGCCCTGGTGTCTCTTCACAGTGCCAACTCGCTGGGAAGGAAAATACAAGAGGACAAATGGTTGAGTGCAGTGGATACCAGTGAGGGAGGAACTGAGCCACTGACATCGGGGCTGAACCCTGTGACCAGGGGGTTGTCCCAGACAGCAGTGTCCCTGATGGTCTCTTGTCCCTTCATGCCCATCCTCTGCCCTTTTCCCAAGCTCAGTGGCTGGGCAGGGACCTCCTGTACCCTCTAGGTGCCAACTGGGCTCACTGCAGGAGCTCCTGAGAATGGCCCTCACCAAGGCCACCCCTGACATGCTCAGGGTGGTCAGGGTCCCCACCTGCACCCCCAGAACAGGTCCTGGCTCACCTCTCTCTGTGGTTCAGGGGACTGGCTGCCTCACTGCCCATGGAAGACTTTTATTTTTTAAAATGCAAGAGGCTTTGCCTGAGATGCCTTAGCTGAGTCCTGGGAGCTACCCAGCGCTGACCCCACATTGACAATGCTGGCAGGTGACCCTTTTCGAACCTGTGGTGTCCACGTCTCTGTCTCCCGAGGGTCCCAGGTCCCTTGTGTCTCTGCTCTGGGTGTCCAGAGGGGCCCAGACCCACACTGTCCTTGCAGGCCCCTCCTGCTGGAGTGACAGCCTGGCCCAGCCTGGGCCACCCATTGAACTACTCCTTGGGCCACAGAAATGCAGATGGAGACCCTTTTTTGATCCCATTCCTTCAAACCATGTGGCCTCTGCCCCAAACAAGATCACCACCCCTGTGGAGGGAGAAAGCAGAGTGACCAGCCTGGAACACTGTCCCCATTGTCACGGGCATGCTCAGTTCCTGCTCCCTTCCTCACTGGTAACCCCCCCACACCCTGCAACAGAGTGAAGGTGGTTGACTCACTATTGAAAAGTGAACAGCCTTGGCCCATGGAAAGGACTCAATATAAGTTTCCTAATATTCAATAAAAATCAATAAAATGCTGTGCATGGTGGTGCATGCCTATAATTCCAGCACTCAGGAGGCTGAGGCAGGAGGGTGGCTGTGAGTTTAAGGCCAGTCTAGAATACAAAGTGAGGCCCTGTCTCAAAACAAAACAAAAACAAAAATGAAAATGTTTAACATACCTACCTTTGACCAGATTCCTCAGAAATAAAACCTATACATACACAGAAGTGCACTGCAGCATTACTTGAGAGGCAAAAAAGTAAAAATCTAAGTATTTGTCAAGGGGAAATGCTTGGTACAGGACAGTACATTCATAGTACGAAATATCATGCAGCAATTATATGAAGTCAGATCTGTTTTGATTTGCAGGGATGTTCAAAATTAGTTAAGTAAAAAAATTAAGTTGTATTTTTATTCTGTACACAAATTTCTTTTTCTTTTCTCTCTCTTTTTTTTTTTTTTGGTACCAGGGATCAAACTCAGGCCCTTGTGCTTATGAGGCAGATGCCAGAAGCACTGAGCTAAATCCCTGGCCCCACAAATTTCAATTTTTTGTTTTCTGTTTTGTTTTTGGTACCAGGGATCAAACTGGAGGCAGGTGGCGACACCCTGAGCTAAATCTTTGTCCCTCAATTTTTGTTTTTTGAGATAGGGTCTCACTCTGCAGTTCAGGTGGCCTTGAACTCACTATGTAGCCCAGGCTGGCCTCTCACAGTGATTCTCCTGCCTCAGCCTCCGTAGTACAGGGATTACAGGTGTGTGCCACATTTTCAGTCACACAGGGGCGAGCAGGTGACAGTGCTACTATTCCCTAAACGCAGGCGGGGCAGCCTCACTGCCTCTCCCGCTTGGAATTTCCAGGTCCAAGATGTTAGTTGTTCTGAGGCTGAGAAATCCTGGCCTGGAGAAAGGAAAATAAAAGAATAAACCTCACCCTACGTTCCCTTTCGTGTGTGTGTCGTTTGCCTTATTGCACAGTGTATTTATTCTGACAACTAAAAATTTTCCTATAAAGTGAAAACTAACAGTCTGTAATAAGTGCATTGTTTTGGTGAAGGCAATGACTGGAGAGGCCGAAAGTTGCCAAAGCTGAACTTGCGGGAGCCGCTTCCCGATTGGGGGGGGGAGCCGAGAGGCGGTGGCTACGCCCGGAGGGCGGCCCTAACTCCCGGCAGCTTCTGCCCACACAATCTGAGCAAGGCCTGAGAACTTTTCCTACGCAGTGAGGAAGAGCAGGAGTTCCACTTTACATTCCAGGATTCACTGCCTCACAGAGAGGCAGAGGGGAATCTGAACATGTCAGATTTGGTGTCCCATTTGTCTGCTGTGGGGCAGGTTATAGATGTTCATCCGGAGAGGTTTTCTGGTTAAGGTAGGAAAACTCGGGCTTAAACCACAGGTAAATTTAACAGCATTTTTTGCCGCAGGTTTAGTTAGAGCCTTGAATATGCTGGTGTGCATCTCCAAGAAGGTGGTAATCTAAGGCAAGACTCCAGTCTTGATCAAGTCCTTTTTCCAAAGATTGTGTGTCGAGCCGGGTTATGGTCGTAATGCCTGTAATACCATCACTTAGGAGGCTGAGGCAGGAGGATTGCCATGAGTTCGTGGCCAGCCTTGGATACTGAGTTCAAGGCCAGCCTGGATTACATACAGGGATCTTAATGAGAACATGGTGGTCAAAAAGAGAGAAAAAAAAATGAGCTAGCTATTTTCCCAGACCAAGAGTCTTTCCCCCCACAAATGCCTACCCACAGTTAAACAAATACACTGTTGATCTCTGGGGAACACTTTTTCCAGCTTAATTTGGAGGGGCTGAGTAAGGGTAAGGAAGGAGAAACAGTGAAAGCCACACTCAGCAAAAGCTACCTGCAACAAGGAAGAAGACCTCCCTGGCTTCAGAATAGAGAGCATGTGCTCCCAACCAGGGCCTTCTGAAGATGTCGTAACCTGCATATGGGGAGCTTCGATCCTCTCCAGTGTGCCTCAAATTGACCTCACTGGACCAGGAGAAGCCCTATAAATTGACCTGTATGTTCTATCCAACTAGTAGACATATTTGTATCGGGGATTGAACTCGGGTCCTTGCTGAGCTAAATCCCCGGCCCAACTAGTAGACTTACTAAAAGTCACTCGATGCTCCTGAATCTATGTCAGGCCTCTGCAAGGCAATGATGTTTAACAATGACAGCATAATAAAAGGAATTCTTAATCCGGAAGAAAAACAGACATTTCTTGGCTGAGTCCATTTCAGGGATGTACTGACAATCACAACGTGCCTGGAGTTGACAGAGGGTTCTCAAGTGCCTGCCCCGCCAAGAAATTTCCACGCTGTACCTGTGGGGTGCCAGGAGCCATGGAAGTTTTCTGGCCAAATACTAACTCCCTACCTGCTCCTCCTCCTAAATGGTCCTTGGTTACCGGCCTCTCGGAGTACAACCTCTCCAGTACCGGATATCACCAAGGGCTCTGGTCCTGGGAGGGGGCCCACGTGCCTCGCTCTGGCAGGGGCGGCCACCGTCTGGAACAACTGTAACAGGGCACTGACGCTAGGACTGCCGCAGTTTAGGCAGGCTGGAACTCGCGACGACACTGCTGCCTCAGCCTCCCCAATGCGAGGAACAGGCTTCCTGTTCAAATTCTGCTTTGGTAGGCTGAAGCTACAAGTTCGCGATGGCTCAGGCAATGCCAGAAAACCATCTTCGCTATAAACACGCCTGACAATCGGCACAGTGGTCTTCTGGACCAGAAGCGGATTTGACGTCCATTAGCAGCTTCTACGTTTAGTGAACACAGCTGCCAGGCCAGACAAAAAGGAACTCCAACGAACTAGGATACTGAGTTCCAGGGACAGAAAGAGACGACCCACAATCCCAGGACCCTAGTTAAGACGCTTGACGAGCCCCAAAAACTCAGACCCCGGAGCCGGAACAAGCAGAGACTTCGCAGCACCGCCCACTAAGCAAATCACGTGGGTTGGGGGCCCAGGGTGGAGAGGAAGCGAAAGGCGGACCAAAGAGGGAGAGAGAGCGAGAGACAGGGGGGAAAAAAAAAAAAAAAAAAAAAAAAAAAAAAAAAAAAAAAAAAAAAAAAAAAAAAAAAAAAAAAAAAAAAAAAACAACAAAAAACCCTCTCCGGAAGTCCCGCCTTTCTCCCGGAAGTAGCGTTAGTTGTTGCGGGTGTGATGGCTTCAAGGTTACTACGCGGAGCTGGGGCTCTGGCCGCGCAGGCCCTCAGGGCCCGCGGCTCCAGGGTAGCGGCTGCCGTCCGCTCCATGGCTTCTGGAGGTACTCGCTTGGCGGGCGTGCCAGGGTCCGGCGTTTTGTTGCTCCCTGGAGTGGTTGGTGCGGAGGTACCAAAGGGGGCGGCCTTGCAGCTTTCGTGGGGTCCCATGACTATCCCAGGGTTCCGGGGCCCCAGGCTCTATGGCGTCTCCTTGTAATTATAGGCTTCGCTACTGCCTCTCACCAAACTGACGCTGCGGCGAAAGAGTCTTTAGTAAAGGCTGTGCGGTGACCTTGGGGGTCCAGGAAGCTCCAGCGGGATGGGAGGTTCGGGCGTTTCTTACATCCCTCGCTCACTTCAAGCCATGATCGACCTGCTTTTAGATATCAAGACATTGGCCTTAGTGATTGGAGAAGAGAACCTTCCACGAGTGTTGCCACTTTGGGGCCTTGTGACTCAGGTCCTTGGGGGCCATGAGATGGGTTGCCTTGAAGTGCTCGTGCGCCTATAGAAGCTTAAGCAGAAGTCTGTGTGTGACCTTTTCCATCCTGATCATTTCAGTATGTAGTTTTTTAAATCTTGATGTAACCTTGGACATTAATTCATGTATGTTCTTTTAGGTGGTATCCCCACTGATGATGAGCAGGCGACTGGCCTGGAAAGGGAGATCATGCTGGCTGCCCGGAAGGGACTGGTGAGGAGAAACCCCCTTCTGTGATCACAGGAGAGCCCTGATCTTGGATGGGATTGCAGAGTCTCCCTGGGAGCATTTGTTTGCTTGTAGGGCCAGCCCCCTGTGCCTCTCCAGGGACTGGGGTAACTTGGCATCCTGGCTCAATGCTTGTTTTATTTCAGGACCCTTACAATATACTACCCCCAAAGGGTGCTTCAGGCACCAAGGAAGACCCTAACTTAGTCCCGTCCATCACCAACAAGAGAATAGTGGGCTGCATCTGTAAGTACTTCATTTCTACTTTCTCATGCATTTGTTTAATAAAGCTTACTGTATGAGATGCTTATAAAGTGCTACCAATCTTGTGTGTGTGAGAGAGACAGTATTTAAAGAATATAGATATACAAATAAATTGCCCAAGGGTTCTGGCAGTCTCAAGCCTCGTGTTGCATGACTGTCATCCTTATTGGAAAGAGGCATGCAATAGCATCAAGCCTGGCTCATTGAAAGTGTATTATGAAAAGAATATTTGTCCAGGTAATAGTGACTTTATTATCTTTATGCTAGGCACTGTTTTAGGCACCAAGAGATAAATACCTATATGGACACCCCTTGAGATTCTATGTGTAGGCAAGGGAATTGTTAGAATTTACAGAATCCTGATGTGAGGTTAGCTTACTTCCAAACGCAGGGCCCTCATTTGATCTGAGAGAGAAGAAGGGCTGGGGATGCAAAAGAAGAGCTCAGGCTCTTAAGAAATCAGCCATAGTTTGATTTTTGTCTCCATCTTGGATTTATTTTTTTTATTGTACCGAGGATGGAAGCAGGCAGTGGAACTGCTGAGCTAAATCCCTGACCCTTGATTTCTGTCTCAAAGGTATCACAAAGAGATTAATGTTGAAAGTCTCCCTTTCTCCCTGGATGCTGTTCAGCTAAGAAGAGCTCAGGCTCTTAAGAAATCAGCCATAGTTTGATTTTTGTCTCCATCTTGGATTTATTTTTTTTATTGTACCGAGGATGGAAGCAGGCAGTGGAACTGCTGAGCTAAATCCCTGACCCTTGATTTCTGTCTCAAAGGTATCACAAAGAGATTAATGTTGAAAGTCTCCCTTTCTCCCTGGATGCTGTTCAGCTACCTTCTGTCCTTTTAGGTGAAGAGGACAATAGTGCTGTCATTTGGTTCTGGCTGCACAAAGGCGAGGCTCAACGGTGCCCCAGCTGTGGAACCCATTACAAGTTGGTGCCCCACCAGCTCGCCCACTGAGCCCCTGCACGGACTCACTTGGAATGTGCTGTGAAGTCTTTTCCAATAAAGACCAGCTGGGCATTCGCTCCTCCCATTAATGGGCAGTCTTGTTTCTCTTCCATATTTTTGGGTAGGTAAGGGGACTTGTTTGGAAATAGCTGTCTGTTCCTATGAGCTTGTGACCCACTCAGAGTGTACAACCAGTGCACAGTGCTTACATTAGTAACAAGTACACTGGGGCTGGGAGCTGTAGCTCACAGGTGGAGTTGTCCTTAGCATAGGTGAGGCCCTGGTGTCCATCCCCAGCACTGTTCCCCTCAGAATAAAATGATTGACAGCCACCAATGCAGTGATTGGGACCACCAGGAACAGGTGAAAGGATGGGCTCAGGGCTGGGCTAACTGGACTTAGGGCACTGGTTCTGTCACTTGGTGGTGTCACTCTGGGGGTGTTCTTTGGTTACATCTACCGGAAAGAAAAGGTAACAAACAAAAAAAAGGTAAATACCTAGTGAGGTATTAGAGGTAATATATATGGAGAGCCTGGCAAATGGGAGATCCTCTCCTCACAGAATCATAGGGACAGGTAGCTTGTTTTATTTTATTTATTTATTTTTGTTTTTTGAGACAGGGTCTCACTATGTAGTTGAGACTGCCCTGGAATTCACTCTATAGCCCAGGCTGGTCTCGAACTCACAGCGATCCTCCTGCCTCAGCCTCCTGAGTGCTGGGATCACAGGCGTGCAACCCCATGCCTGGCCCAGTTTTGTTTTTTTTTTTTAAAGACAGGGTTTCACTGTGTAGCCTGGGCTGGCCTCAAACTTGTGGTGATCTCCTGCCTCAGCTTCCTGAGTGCTGAGATTACAGGCATGCACCACTACACCCAGCTCTGGCACAGGGTAGTTTTGTGAGAACTTTAGTGACTTTGCTAGACTAGATTCAAACCAAGAGTTCCTAGGAACAACTGCAGCAAGTCAGAGTATGGGACTTTGTCAGAAACTATAGTCCAGGTTTCTGCAAATAAATTACAAGGGGTAGAGAGGGGGAAAAAAACATCTATAGAGTAAAGGGAACACCTATAGAGTATAGGGAACTCCTGTAGAGTAAAACCAAACATGACCTGTATACATTGTTTGGGTCTTGATTTCAAATCACTTGTAGTTGAGTCCAATCCCTGTGGGACTGTAAGACTCCCTTGCAGCACTTTCTATGCCTATCCATGGCTCATTTTGAATAAAGTCTACCTTCTTTAAAAAAAAAAAAAATAGAAAAATTGAGCTAGATGTGGTGGCAGCTTGTAATCTTAGCTACATGGGAGACTGAGGCAGGAGGATTGAATGGGAGGTGGAGGTCAGTCTCTACAACACAGTAAGACCCCAACCTGGGAAAATTGTGAAGGAAAAATCTTGGAGTATTTGTGATACTTTGTAGGGTTACTTTTTTCTTTCTTTTTTTTGTTGGGGTGGTGTGCTGGGTGGGTACCAGGGATTGAACTCGGGACTTTGCACTTGCAAGGCAGGCAGCGGCACCACTGAGCTAAAACCCTGGCCCTAGTTGGTTGGTTTTTTGAGACAGGGTCTCACTATGTAGTTTAGGCTGGCCTTGAACTCACTATGTATTCCAGGCTGATGTTGAACTCATGGTACTCCTCTTGCCTCAGCCTCCCAAGAGCTGGGATTATTAAGCATGTGCTACCACATCTGGTTTGTGATACTTTGGGCAAGTTAAATTCTCGCTTTTTTCACTGTAAAATACCTTTTCATTAGGTAGGTGTGGTGCACACCTGTAATCCCAGCACTTAGAAAGCAGAGATAGGAGGATCACCACAAATTTGAGCCCAGCCTGAACTACAGAGCGAGACTATCTTAAACAAAAAAGAAATTGGAAGGTGATCTTGGGCTACCTAGGTGATCCGAATGAGCACAAAGAGGTGGAGATGCAATAGCGCTGGCTTTGAAGAAGCTGGTAAAGGCCAAATGATTGTCTGTAGGGTCTTCAGAAAGAATAGAAGCCCTGTGAGGCCCAGGTTGGACTTCCAGACAACTGTGTAAGTTAATGAAGTTAGGCTTTAAAGTCATTCAATTTGAGATAACTTTTTTTTTCTTTTTGTACCGGGGATCAAACTTAGGACCTTGTGCTTCTGAGGCAGGCGCCAAAACCACTGAGCTAAATCCCTGGCCCGCATGATAACTTTTTATACTGGTAGTGAGAAACTTAAGACAAGTAGCTTCTACTGCTCCTCTCAGGTCAGTGGTCTTTAACATGAACTACACCTTAGTCATCTGGTATCCTGTACCACTCCAGGGTCCCACTGGCCCAGACCCTTGCAGCAGTCCTCAGGGTTCCTGGGGTTCCCAGTGCTGCAAATGCTGAGGATCCACCTTGGGCCGACCAGGTCCACCTGGACCCTTCATCTTTAGCCTCGGTGGTGGGAGCCCTTGGGCATAGGACAAGTGGAGTTCCCCCCGTGAGGCCCAAGCCTTGGCTTCTGGGCTCCATCTGAAACGGTCACTCGGCAGCACAAAGGGATACAGGTCTCATGGATGGTATTCGCCTATCTTTAAGAACTGAATAATAAAGAACTTTTCCCATAACTGCTTGAAAATAATTTGGTGACATCTTGACCCATTATACTCGAGTGTAGGTTTCCCCCCTCTTTTTTTGGTTTTACTGTATAGCCCAGGCTGGACTCAAACTCTTGATCCTCCTGCCTCAGCCTCCTGAGTAGCTGTGATTATAAGCATGTGCCACCATACTCATCTCTATAGTGTATATTTCTTACAGAGACATTTTGTAGTGTCTGTGCTGAGTGAGTGCTGTACTGAGCTATATCTCTAGCCCTTTTTATTTTTTTGAGACAGGGTCTTGCTAATTGGCCCAGGCTGGCCTTCAACTTGTGATCTTTCTGTATCAGACTTCTGAGTAGTTGAGATTACAAATGTGCCTCACTATACCTGGCTAAAATACTTTATTAAAAAAAAGAAGATCACATTTATTGTAGGGAGTAAATTCACTTATATTATGCATCTTAATTCTTTTTATTTCCCTCCCTTGATATTTTTTTAATACTCATTAAAATCGGGGTACATATTCTTTTTTTTTTTTTTTTTTTTTTTTTTTTTTCTTTTTTTTTCTTTTTCTGGTGCTGGGTATTAAACTGAGCTACACCTCCAGTTTTTTTTCTTAAAATTTGAAACAGTCTCACTATGTTGTCAAGTTCAACTCAGGCTGAGCTGAAATTTGTGATCTTCCTGCCTCTGTCTCTGGGTGCTGGAATTAAAGGTCTCTACAACCTGCTCAGTTTATATATTTCAATCCCTAATCTTCAGCTTCTAATCAAGTTTTCCTAAATGTTCCAAAGTGTGTTACTGATCCAGGCTGAGAATCATGTGTTGCCTACAGCTGTTGCGTCTAGGACAGCGACAGCTCCTGCTGGTTTCTGTCCTGACCCCGGATACTTGAGGATGATCCCAACAGCTTGGCTTTGCTTCTCGACTGGCTTCAGGCTGTAACCAGGCACCTGGCAAGAGTGCCACCAAGGTCTTTGGGAGGCCCCTGTTGCCTACTTGCCCCATGCTGTGGAGGTTTCCTTGATCACTGACTGGCTGAGGTCTGTGAAGGTGCTCTTTAATCAATGACATCATCTCACGATGTCAATGTCTTACACCTCATCAAACTTCCAACTTTTAACAGATCAGTATGGATCCATCCCTTAATTATTCAGTGAATTATCATCCATGACTTACTATTTTTGATGTTTAATTTGTTCCAATTTGGCCAGTCGAGCTTCCCTGAGCTGGCTCCTCTCAGCATGTCCCTCTCATTCTCAAGAGTACTTTTTGGACACAAAATGTCCCAGGCTCATCTTCCAGGCTGATAAACCCAGAAGATTGATGCCATTATTGTCACTTCCTTATGGATGGGGAAGCTGGGAGAATTCGGGTTTGTGCTGTTAGAATTTCGTGGGGACAACATAGTGACCTCAGGTCACTTAGCTCTGAAGCCTGAGCTTTTTTGTCCCTTGATTTTGGTGTGTGTGTGTGGTCTTTTGAGACAGGGTCTCACTATGTAGTTGAGACTAACCTGGAACTATGTAGCCCAGGCTGGTCTTGAACTCACAGTGATCCTCCTACCTCAGCCTCCCGAGTGCTGGGATTACAGGCGTGCTCCACCATGATCAACACGATTTTAAATTTTGGAATAATTTCAGGTTTACAGAAAAGTTGCAAAAACAGTTCCTGTTTACCTTTTCACCTACTTTTCTCTGTTAGCATCAGATATCACAGGGAATTAACATTGGTACAGAGATGTTAACTAATCAGCAGCTCTTCCTGGGGTGTCGCTGGCTTCTGGAGATCTCACATTGCACTCTGCTTCTGTCTTAGGGTTGGGGTTGAACAGCCAACTCATGTGTTTATTTGGGTCTGCCTGATGCCTGCTGCTGGTTAGACTGAGGTTTTGCAAGAACACCAAGGGGAAAGGGCGCCCCTGGTGCATTCACAGGAGACAATCACAGTGCTGTGTACTTTGATCTTTTGGTCAAGGTAGTGTCTACTAGCCTTCTTACTGTAAACTGACCAGCTTCCCTTCTGTAATTAATCTTGTGGGGAGACAGAAAGCTAATGCAAATAGCCTTGCTTTTTTGCTCACTACATTTTGTGTTCATTCCTCGCCTGCAACTATCCCCATTCCCCCAAAATAAGACCTAGCTGGAAATAATCAGCCTTGAAAACCAGGTATCAAAAATGCCAGGGCCGGGGATTTAGCTCATTGGTTCTGTCGCCTCCCTTGCAAGTGCAAGGTCCTGAGTTTGATCCCCAGTACCAAAAAGAAAGTGACAGCCCAATTAGCCAGTACTTGTTTGACCCCTGGCACTACTCTTGCCCGACAGTGACTACTCTTGCAAAGGAGGCAAGTTCACAAGACTTTCCAGCTGTACACTGGCTTGGTTTTCCTTCATGCCTGCTCCACATGGCCAGCAGAAGAGGTGGCCTAAGCACTGGGTCCAAGCAAATGTACTGGGCAGGAGGGACAGGCTGTGTGAAAAGGAGGGTGGGGAAGGAGCAAAGAGCATAGCCATAACCCACAAGAAGTTGGCGGGAAGAGGGTACAGTGCAGGCTCTGACACTGTGTGGTGACCAGGCTCAGCCCCTCGCCCCAACCTCATCTCTGTCCTAGGCCCCCAACACTCGCTGTCACTATTGTCACCCAGGACAGAGGAGGCCCACCTCCACGTCCAACCCACTCTGGTTTGTCCCCTGCCCTTTACCACTGATCCAACCTTTGCTGCAGTCCCTCCCCGCCACCAAGGGTTGCCTGGCGCCCCCGTCCCTGGTTGCCTTTGGTCCTTGCCACTCAGCCTGCCCCCCGTTGGGTTGACATCCACCCTGCTGGCCGCTGCAACTTTTCACTGAAATGGGCCCTGCGTCTTCTCCTGCCCCTCCCCCACACCTGGATGGAACTCAGGAACTTATGCTTGGGAGGCAGGTGCGGCACCACTGATCTAAATCCTCAGCTTTTTTTTGTTGTTGTTACCAGGGATCAAACTCAGGGCCTTGTTCTTGCAGGCTTGGTGGCACTGAGCTAAATCCCTGACCCTGTTTCTGGTTGTTTTTTGAGACAAGATCTCACTATATGGTCCAGGCTGGCCTTGAAATCATTATGTAGCCTAGTCTGGCCTAGAACTTGTGGCAATCCTCCTGCCTCAGCCTCCTGAGTGCTGGAATTATAGATGTGTGCCATTATGCCTGGCTCTGACCTGTCCATTTGTTGGGGCAAGAACACATCTTGTTTACCACTGGCCCCAAACATGAAGACCCTGGCAGACATGCTGTAGGTGCTTACATACCTAACAAGGTGAACAGCTCCTCTCTGGGCTCATGGGCAGCCCTTGTCCAGCACCTCCCCCACCTCTCTCAGGCCTCCCCCTGCAGAGCCAGGCTCACCCTGCAGCCATTGCTCCCTGCCCCTTGTCCTGTCTAAGGAGCCTACAACCCTGTTGGTGTCAGGCTGCCTGGCACAGGAACAACAGAGTAGGGCTGATGAGCACAGCCCTGTCCGTGAGGGGGAGGCAGGAGGGTTGCGAGGCTAGGGATACTGCAGCAGGTGAGCTCAGCCTCCTGGGTGCTCAGTGCCACATTGCCCTGCCAACCATGAAACCCACAGGCTCCAAGCTCAAGTCAGTGCCCTGCTGTGTCCCCTGTGGTCCTTTCTCTGAGTCCCCCGGGATGGGTGAGCAACAACAGCACACAGAGCCACAAGAAAACAGCCACACACTGGGCTTTGACTATAATTACTATAATGATTTATAAAAGAAAGTTTTCTCAGGCAACTGTTACATTATTGGAAACATCTGGGCAGGGAGGTTGGGCCCAGCCACCCTGTCCTTGAGGGTGGGAGGACCTCCCCAGCCCCTACCTGACTCCCGATTCCCTGGCTTCCTCCAACAACGTGGACGATAAGACTTTCTAGCCAGGGCACAGGGCAGGGCAGGAGCATCAATCACTGACGTGCTTGGAGGGCAGACGGCGACAGGCCATATGCCATGGCTGCCCCTGTGCCACTGTTTGCTGGGGCTGTGCACACAGGTGTGGGTAGCTGTGGTACTGGGTAGCATGGTGGCCTAAGACGCACCCCGCGCCCCACTGCCACTGCTCAAGCTGCTGGTTGCCCTTCTCCAGCCTACTTCCCAGGTCCCCAGGTTCTCTGGCTCCGGGTTAGCGCCTGCCAGAGGACACAAAGGCTTTTAGGTGTCTGGCCCTTGAGCTAAGGGAAGCAGCTCCCAAAATCAGAGCAAGGAACCCTTAGCCTAACTGGGCCCACACAGGGAGAAGCCCAGAGCAGCCCAATGTGGGCTCAATTCCTATGCTCCAGCTCGAGACCCCATCCATGCAGCTAAACATGTGTATGTGCGTGTGTGTGTGTGTGTGTGTATGTGCGTGTGCGTGTGCGTGCAAGGTGGGGCTGTAGGCAGATACTGCTGCAGCACCTGCCTGGGGGTTCAGGGCATGCAGGGGACCCTTGGCCTAGAAATGTGGACCTCAAACAGAAGGGGTCCAGGCCTCTGGCTCCCCCTCCTCCCATTCTCCCAACAAGCTCCACCCTCCTGGGCATCAGAAGGTCTTTCGATGAATAGCACGGGAACCGTCTTCTTCGTATTCCTTTTTGGATACCCACATCTTCTTAAAAGTATCCAGTGAGGCCAAGATGGAACCACTGCAAGAAAGAAGTGCACATTCTTGTGGGCCTCTGGGTGGCGCTCCTGGGCACTTAGCAACCCCATGCCTCTACTTGGGAGACCCCACCACCCACCCACCACCTCACAGCCTGGATACCGGAGCAGTATTCAGGGCAGAGTGGCTTCTTCCTAGAGCCTCCCCTTGGGCCCTGCCTCACCCTATCCATGTGGAGTACAGCCGTTCCTGAGGGGCGGAGATCTGCAGGGACAAGCAGCTGTGTCACTGCCTTGACCCAAAGCAGCAGCTACCCTCCGTCTGGGGCCCAGGCCAGGCCTGGAGGGCAGGCGTGCAGCCAGCAGGGCAGGCAGGGCTGGGAGGACATGGGACATGTGGGGAGGGCAGGGCAGGGCTGGGCTTCCTCCGCACAGCTGCCAGCACCCAGAGCCCCAGTCTCTGTGACCTCACCTTGATCTTGACGTCCTTTGGAGCAAGCTTCTTCACCTCACTCAGTAGTCGGTCCCCGAAGCCTGCAGATAAGAATGGTGGGGTCTGAGGTCCACATCTAACCTCTTCACTAGTTATCCAGATCTAGCCTTGGGGGATCCCCCTATTCTCTGCAGGATTAAGGGAAGGGTGGCCCAAGGGGAGAAGCCACCAGGCACCTCAGTGAGGCAGTGAGAGATGGAGCCCCCAGTCAAATAGCCTCTCCTGATCTCTGTTCCTTGTGATCACTTGTACCTTTACATCTCAGATAACGTGATCTGGCCACAAGGTAAACAAAATTTAATTTAAATCAGTCTCTACTGCCAGGTGTGGTGGCACATGCCTGTAATCCTAACATTCAGAAAGCTGAGGAAGGAGGATTTCTGAGGAGGATTACTGTCATTTGTTGAGGCCAACCTGGGCTACACAGTGAGTTCAAGGTCAGCCAAGACTACAAACCCCCACACGCACAAAAAAATCTGTCACTACAAACAAGCTGAGTTCCACCAAAAAGGGGGCAGAAATGAGGTAGGCATGGTGATACGTGCCTGTAACCTCAGCAGTTTGGGAGGCGGAGGCAGCAGGGTTGCAGTTCGAATCCTGTCTGGACAACTTAGCCAGATCTTGTCTCAAAATAAAAAAGATCTGAGGATGTAGCTCAGTGCAAAGGCTGTGAGGCCTGGCTAGTCCCCCACCCACCCCAGACCTTTGAACAGCGTAGAACCCCCGGAGAGCACAATGTTGGCGAAGAGTGTGCGGCGAAGGTCCATGTCGGACTTGTGGATGGCGAAGGCTAGCACCTCATGGAGCCCCTCACTCTCGTCCCCCACGAGGTCTGGCTGGAACAGCAGCTCGGGGGCCCGGAATCGTGCAGGTCCCACCTGCAGAGCACAAGATTGAGGCAGACAGCTCCCCGGGAGCCAGGCCCTGCCTCACTGCCACCCTAGCCCCGCATCTGCCGCTTACGTCTAATGTGCTGCCATCAGGCAGGGTGTATTGCATCTTCTCCGTCTCCAGGGCCTCGTCTTTCTGTGGGTTGATGGATAGGTAGCAGGCTCGCTGTGGAGGTGACACATCTCAGAAGGCTGTGCCTACGTCCTCCCTTCCCTGCCAGCCATGCCCACGCCTCTGGGCCCCCCATCACCTCCTTGATGGTCCGCACAACCTCAAACTCAGCTGACGTGTGGAAATCAGCCCCTTCCTTGCGCAGTAGCAGTCGGAGGTAGCGGGAGACATCACGGCCAGCAATGTCCACCCGCATGATGGAGTGTGGCATGGCGAAGCCCTCGTAGATGGGGACAGCATGAGTGACCCCGTCCCCTGAGTCTAACACCACTCCTGTTGTGCGTCCTGTTGCGTACCTGCCACCAGGTCAGCATCCCCTCACCTCAGCCACTGAGGCACAGGGACCCCGACCCCCAAAGGGACTTGGGATATTGGGATTATCTGGTGGGGCTCCCTGAAGGAGCAGTCATCACAGGGATCAGGGGCCCTGTCACTACAGGCGGGGCAACCACAGTGAGGCAGGGCTCAGACACTCACAGGCTGAGCACAGCCTGCATGGAGATGAACAGGGCTGGCACATTGAAAGTCTCGAAGAACACCTCCGCCGCCTTCTCCCGGTTCTTGCTGGGGTTGAGTGGGGCCTCCGTCAGGAGAACTGGGTGCTGTAAGACACAGGAGACATATGGCCTGGACAACATATCCACCCAAAAGGCTCTTTGCCAAGCCCAAGCCCAGCTCCCAGCTGGCAGGTCCTTTTCCAAAGGCGGGCAGTCCCAGGCCACCAATGGCTGTATGGGTGCCACGGACACAGGGATGTAATAGGCCAAGGAGGATGTAGACAGGGAAAGGGACAAGGGAAGAACTGCCAGCTTTCGAGGGCTGGGCCCGCACCTCCTCCGAGAAGGTCTGCAGCTGGTCCTTGGAGTACACGTACTGCCAGATGCGCTCCATGTCATTCCAGTCCCGAACCACGCCGTGCTCCATCGGGTAGCGGATGGCCAGCAGCCCCCGGTGCTCCTGGAGGGGCAGATGTGATACAGGCCCTTTGCCAGGTGGCCACCTCTGGCCTTCTGGGAAGCTCTCTCTCTCCCCTGAACCGAGCCACCCCTGCCCATGGGTGTCCCCAGCTCTGGGGTGGGTCCTGAACTAAGAATAGCTCATCTGTCCCACCATGCTCTGGGTTCTCAGAGCTCAGCTAGCTTCAACTGGTTGAGGCCAGAAAAAGTGGCAGTAAGCCCCAAGCCAGAGTCCCTCCTCCAGTGCCTCTCCTGGGGCTTCCCCATTCTCTCCTCCTGTGCTGAAGCTTCCTCCGGGCCTTTCAGTAACTGCGCCTGTCAGCATAGCCCTGCTGCGGTCACCTTCTGCTTGTCCAGGGTGCAGCTCTGGCCAGTCCTGTCTCCAGCACAGATGCGCTGCCTCTATTTACCTTCTGACACTGCCCCAGCCATGGGTGTACCCCTTCTCATCCTCTTAACATCCTGCCGTGGCTCCCACTAACCTTACACTTAGGGCCCCACACCTGTCCCAACTCAGGCCACCCCTGCCTGGGCTCATACCCCTCAGGTGCCTACATGGCACTTGTCCAGCTAGGCTCACTCCTCCCACCCCAGGGGACCAGGATGTGTTATTCCTAGTGGGTCACCCTGGTTCGAGTGCACCCTGGCCATCACAGTGCCTGTCAGAGCAGCCATCAAGTCTGGGTAATTCTAACTCTTAAATCACCCTTTAATCACTGCTTTCCTCTGTAGTTTCCAAATAGCCTCTAAAGGCAAAGCACACAGAGGTCTAAGCAAGCTCCCCAGAATGGGAGTGTCACACTGTATCTCACAGCACAGAGGGCACGTGCAGGCCCCATGGCACATGGGAGTCTAGGAGGGTCTCCTGCCGTTAGCTAGTGGCCCTGTGCCTGTTACCTCTGCCTTGGGTCCGATGAAGAGGTCCCCCTCCAGGGCTCCGGCCATCACCCGCATGTGCTTAGGCCGCCCGACACTGTGGGGACACAAAGTCAATGAGGTAGGCAGGGGCATGGCCAGACACCCGTCCAGGAAAATGAAAGACCCAACTCTGAGGCTCAGAGGGACCTGTCTTCAAAGCAGTGGGACGTGGCCATGGGCAAAGGTCAGAACCAGAGGTGGCTATGGGATACAGGAGCAGGACAGGGTCAGAAGGAATGCCCCTCCCAGAGAGGGCTGAGCGTGTGAGCTCCGGGATGCCAGCCCTTCAAGGCCAGGCCTGGCAGAGGGTCAGCCTTCAGCAGCCACAATGACTCAGGCTGCACTCTTGTGTTCAGGGCAGGCCTGCTGTCACTGGCTGGAGACTCAGGGAGGATGTCTCCCCCAGTGGGTGCTGTCCCTTCCCGCCACCGGGATTTCCAGTACAGAGTCTTTGGAGACTTAGATCTGATGAGCTACCATTCCAAACTGTGTCCCAAGCTTTCCATGCACCAGCAGGAGCCGTGGAGTTCTGGAAGAAAGCCTGAAGCCCTCCAGGGTACCCATGCTGGCTCTATACAGACCAGACCTGTGTTCCCTGAAGAGTCAGCTGCTCTGGGGACCTTCAGTCCTGCTCTGCCCAGCATTTAGGATAACAATCACAAGTGTCCAAGACTTCAAAGGAAACTCTGCCTATGAGCTAGAGAACACTCTAGGCTCTCATGGGGTGGCAGCCTCTCAAATCCCTGCTGTGGCCAGCATTATACAGGAGAGTCCCCCAAGAGTGAAACCATATTTTCCAGAATCTGATCACAAACAAGCCCTGATGAAAACATTTCCGGGGCTGGGGATGCAGTTCAGGGGCAGGGTGCACGCTTGGCATTCTCAAGGCCTAGGCTCAATCCCCAGCATCAAAAGAGGCACAAAAATATGTTCAAGAAGGAGAGGGTGCCGTGCGTCTACCCCATTCTTCCTGCTCTGTAGAGTCTGTTGGGCTCCCTTTTATTCTTGCCATTGCTCTGTGCCCCATCCCCAGGGCAATACTGGCTGCCTCCCCCTCATTGCTCAGGGAGAGACAAAACCCCAAGCCTACAAGGAGGAAGGGGAAAACCAGAGCATTTCTTTGTTCTTTTTGTTCTCACCATATCAAACTCACCAAGCTGGGATTTTCTCTTATAGGCAGGGACCCAAGACTTGTGTTCAAATAACACAGCAGTGACCCAGGACTGCCAGTCTCCTGGAAGCAAACAAAAGAGGGCAGGGTAGCTGCCCCAGCCAGCCAACAATACTTACTAGTTTGGGAAACAGTATTTGGGAATCTGGTCTCCTGCAAAGCCAGCCTTGATCACCCCGGAGCCCTGCAAGAAAAATCAATGTTTACCTTCTGACATTCCGGGGTGAAGACAGAGCCTGGCAGAGAGCTAGCTGCCCCACCAAGGCCCAGGGACATTGCCACTTACAAGTCCAACAGTGGCTCAAAGCTGGAGGCAATTTTGTGTCCCCTGCCCTGAGAACATTTGGCAGCATCTGGTGACTGAACAGGGGAAACAGGAGAAAGCACTAATGGCATCTATCTTGTATGGGCCAGGGATGCTGCTAAACATCCTAAAGGGCACAGACCTCCTGCCCCACCAACAATTTACCCAGCCCAGAAGGTCAATAGCACAGAGACTAAGAGCCTGTGTGTAAGACCGGCCAGTTAAGACTTTCCTCATGGCTTCCTCAGGGACTACAAGAACTTGGTAGTTGCTGATCAGCCTGTGTAATTGATTTGGAGGGAAGCCACCTGGCCCTTCCTGCAGCCTGCTGTGGGGCTGGTCTCACAGAGCGCATCCCTATCTCTAGTCTCCTGGCTAAGCATCCCCTGCTATGACTCAGGCAACCCGCATGGGTCTTCCAACAAAGATGGCCATTCAGGGACCCCACTGGGCTCACGTGGGAGGCACACATCCCCCAAAGAGCAGATTGAGTCATTATCAGACTCCCAGGCCTGCACACCAAGGGGTATCAGCCGGGGCACATAGTCAGACGCCAGCCTTTAACTCCTCCGAAAGTCAAGGTTCAGAGACCAGAAATCCTAAAGCAGCTGCAAGCAAGCCAAGCCCTGGCGCTGAAGGACAAAGCCACGGGAAGCCGGACGTTTTTCCTGAAGCTTCCAAAGTTACCCTAAACTGCTTCTCCATCCTGGAAGTGTGGCCCTGAACGCTCCACTGCCTGCAGGATTTGTTTCTCACAGAGGCACTTAAGGAGAGGGTCAAAGGAGCCAAGAGGTCAAGCAGGCGGTGGTGCGTACATGGCTCGTGGAGAGTAGCTTGCATTATTTTGCAGCCCCTTGGGAAGCGTAGGCATCACCAGGCCAACCTCTCCAAAACAAGTCAGCAGCGCACACTTCATCAGAGCCAGGGCCAAGGTGAGCAAATGAGTTGGAGTGGCACGTGCTCAGGATCTGCGCTCTCAACCGAGAGGGTCCGCGGCAGGGGCTCCGAGACCTCTGCGAGACTTGATGGCCTTTACGCCCCGGCATCGGAGCCGAGGTCCAACGCGGGCGGGGAACGCGC